TTGGTGGGGGGAAGATGGGAAGGGATGGGAAGGGAAAACAAAGGTGGAGGCAACAATGCTTGATGGGAAATGTATCTTGCTCATGTAATTTTAACCTCTGTATATGGTATTTTCTCAACAAAAAAGAAAAAAAGAAAAAAGAAGGAACTTTAGAATTTTGGCGGGGTGTGGGGGTGGAGGGAGGCAGGGTGATGGGAGGGCAGGAATGGTAATGGGAAACAAAGGAGGAGGCAACAATGCTTGATAAGCAATGTACTCATTACTTTGCTCATGTAATTGTAACACCTCTGTATGGTATTTTCATAATAAAAAACTTAATAATAAAAAAAGAAATGATGTAAAATAAATTCTCCCTAGAGTTTGATGTTCATAATGTTGACCAGCAGGGGGTAGCAAGGGACAACATTCCCCCTCCACTGCTCCTATTCTCCCCTCCTGTGCTAAGGTTCAACTCAAGACCTCTTTTTTTTTTTCAACTTCCCTGATTTTATTTTATTTTATTTTATTTATTTTTTTATTTTTTTGTGAACACAATGTACAGAGGGGTTACAATTGCATGGGCAGGTTAATGCGTACATATCTTATCAAGCATTGCAGCTTCCTCCTTTGTTTACCCTTCACATCCCTTCCCAGCCTCCCCCCCACAGAATCCTCCCCGCTTCCCCCCCTCCCCACCAACATTGTAAAGCTCGTTTTCGACATGACAGCTTGTACTTCTCATTGTTGCAACAGGTATCCTTAAACAACTTGTTTTTCCCCATCTCCTCTACAAGTTATACTGACATCAAATATAGTGAAAGCAGGGGTTATACCGTGGGGGAGGGACATACAAAGCTACAAAGAGATAATCTTATAAATGCGTTAGAAACAAATGCATGAAAGGAAAAAAAACATTAAAATACATATCTAAGGATTCATTTTCCTAACATCACATTATCTGACCTTTTCTGCTTGACTCATACATATACTAGATATTGCAAATAAGGGAAACCATGGCACCTATATTTCTTTGGGCCTGGCTTACTTCACTTAATATAATGTTTTCCAAGTTTTCCATTTCCTAACAAATGGGGCAATGTCATTCTTTCTGATGGAGGCATAGAATTCTATTGTGTATATATACCACATTTTCTTGATCCATTCATCTACTGAGTGGCATCTGGGCTGGTTCCATATCTTAGTTATGGTCAAGACTTCTTGCTGCTGCTCTTCTCTTACTTGGCTTTTCAGTTGAGGGCTGGGACTGTGCCATTTGAGCCATGGCTCTATTTCCACCTTTTTCCTCTTTTCTTCTAGATCAGTGATTCTCAGATTAGTTTACCAGGACTGGCTCCAAACTGTGCATTCTCAAATCTCAGCTTCCCAGGTTAAGCCACTGGTGTCTCCTCTATTTGCTTTTATAATTTGTTTTGTAAAGTTTTTATTTTGTGCACCATTAACTTTCCAAATCTTTTATAAATTATTTAGAAAATACTTTATTAGTTTCTCCAATCAAACCCACGTAGATAAGACCTTACCTATTTAATACAGTTTATTTACCCCTGTACAAATAACTTTCCAAATCTTGACTTGCTCAATGAGATTGTGAACCTCTTCCTGAAAGTATGGGGATGATTTAATATTAGTTTTCCATGAAAAAATTTTCTTTATTCAACACATTAATATTACATTTCCAAACCTTCTGCAAAGGTGTTTTTTACAAACAGTGTCTTGTCTCTGGGACATCACTCAGAGTTCATTTCCTATGGAGTTAGTTGCCCCTTCCCAGGGTTCCTTCTAGTTCCTTTTTTTTCACTTCTCAATAGTGTATAACTTCCAAGGCCCAGCCTGCTTTCATTTATATACAGTATTGTCTAATGATTGCTCTGTGTCCCAATTTTGTTCCTTGAATTTCAGAATTGCACATTCACAGACACTTAAGGTACATTTTCAGTTGGACGTCTCAAAATTCTAATTAAAGTCCAGATTCTCAGCTGTCTTTCAAATTTTCTTCCTGTTGGCTTCCCTCTCCCAGTAAACATCATTGTAAATTCTGTCTTTTCCAAGTTCAAACACATGCAGTGATCATCTTTGATTTTTTTCTTCTGGCACTTCATCTCCAATATGTCAGTAAATAATTGTATTTGTTCTACTTTCAAAGCA